TGGTGGGCGGGAAGGAGAAGGGGGGACGTGGGTTTACAGCGCTTTGAAAGGGCAGAGCGGGCACGAGAGGTGTTCTCCTTCCCGGAGGGGCTGCTCAGCGTGTTGCCTCCCCTCAGGGCATTTTCACCTTTAGAATAAAGTGCTCCGGCCAGAGGAACGTCCCTGCCCTGGTTGCTGCCCTTCTGCCCTGCTCTGCGGGAGGAGACCCTTCCCAGCACGGGTGAAGGAAACGGGGATGCTCAGCATCTCCTGGCTTTCCCGGCAGGAAGGGCTTTCCACCCGAGGGGCAGCTGGGCAGTGCTCAATGCAAGCACCCTGGCAAGGCTCCAGCCCCCAGGGCTGGCATCAGCCAAGTGCATTTCCCACCAGCCCAGGCAACACTTTGCACAGCCCCTGAATAGTAAAAATGAACTCAAGAAAATCTGGGCGAAAGAAAGGTCTCCCTAGAGACCCTGACTTGCCCTTCATACTTCACGTTGGCTTTGGTCTGTGCTTGCACAGCCCCCCAGCCAAGTAACTCAGGTAGGGCATGAACTGGTAAATGAGGTTTTAACCTCCCTGCCGTTCCCAGCACGTGTGCAGAGGCATCATTGCTGCCTCTGCAATCCAGAGAAACCCCACAGCATACCTGCAGGAGCTGCTGGATGGAAACAACCCCTGTGGGATGCCCCTTGGTGGGAGTGGGAACAGTTCCCACCCCTCAGGCTGAATCCTAAATGTCCACTTCTTACACTGACTAGTGCATAGAAATTAAAGAGTACAGGGTAGAAGTTACAGAAACCACAGGACCTGGATGCACAAAAATACATGTGATTTCTTGATCAGCTTCTAGGCACAGGCACACCATGTAACCTCCCCATGACTTTCATCTGCCAGACCTAAGTTGGCACAGCCTGTGCTGAGACCTGTGGTGTAGGGCCTGGCTGGCTCATAGGGCTGTGGAGGGGCAGACCAGCCCCATCAGCACCATCCTGTTGTGCCCTCACCAGACTTCTGGACTTACTCAGGCCTTTTACAGCTGCAGATGAGCTGCTCAGACAGTGAACTTGCTTATTTGTGGACACAAATGGATGTGAACTAGAAGCTTACCCATAAGATCTGACCTATTTTTGGCTTTTTAGACCAAATCAATCAACCAACCCCAATTAAAATGCATAAAGACAGACTTATTTTGTTGGAAAAATGGTTCCACAACCACTTTAAGCAGTTCCTCCAGAGAAAATTATTCTTTGGATTGAGGGACTGGGGGTGTGGTGTGTCTGTATATGTGATGTGTGGTTGGAAAGCCACAGATTAATAGCTTTTTCATCATATTTAATTGGAACTATTAGACCAGGTTTTCTCAGGACACAGCTGTTGTCAGGAGAAACAGGTTCATTTGGGCTGCTCCGCTTGGTGGATGGGATGTCCCCTGTCTCCTTTCCACTCTTCCCTCTCTCTAGATTAGCTATATTATAGTGTTTCAGTTTAATTGTATATTTTCTCTTTGAGGCTGAAAGTTGAAGATGGCAGAACCTGAAAGCACAGTCATAAACACAGACGTGGAACAGGTAAAAGGTTGTTCATTACAAAATGCACATCCTGTATTTCTCAAGCAAGTTTTGAAATGCCACCACAGGATAGGATACACCACGACCTGGAGGTGTGGTGACCTGATTTGCTCATGCCTAAGTTTCAGCAGAAGTGGCCTGTCCCAGGGCTGCTGGGCACCTGGTCTCAGTGAGGTCCACGCGATTTCCACATGGGATGAGGTTGCAGAGCTGAACCTCCAGTTACACGGGCAGGAATGGGTACATTGGCTCACAAATTTTGGAGTCACCAGGGAGAAAGCAGCAGCTTCTGTACATAGAGACTTTATTAGACTCTCTAGAAAAGATACAAATGAAGGGTAAAACCATGAGTATGTGCAGACAAACCCAGCAGTGCCCCACTCAGCACAGGAAGGCAACCATGGATGTGCTGTGCCCATAAACATCAACATTATGAAGCAATGCCCTCTGGTATGTACTGTCCTCAGAGCTTGTGGCACTTACCAGACAGGTTAGGATTTCACAACTGCATACCCCATCTTTGGTGGCCTGGAAATTACGATTTGGCTTAGTACCTCTTCTCCAAAGGCCCTCTGGCATCAAGAACCATGGGTGGTGCCTCCAATGCCTAACCCCACCACCCTTGTCAGTAAACTTCACTGCTCACCCTGAAGGTGAGCTTCTTTGCTTTCTCCCAACCCCTCTTTCCTCCCTGTCCTGCAGAAAGACCCTAGTGAGGCACTGGTCATTGCAGTGACCACCAGAGCCATCTTCAACCTGGAAAAGGAGCACAAGCTTTACTTGGAGAAGGGCAAGGAGGAGTACACAAGGCACCAGCAGGCCAACCAGGACACACCCCTGCCACCGGGCACAGCCTTTGCCTTCATCCAGGTGAGCCCCTCACCTGGCCAGGGTCACGTGCATTCACAGAATGGGGTGCAAACTCAGTTTTCCAAACTTTAGGTCTCAACTGTCATCACAGGGTGCAGATGTGCCTGTTCTGGCCTCTTGGCCTTGTTGTAGGGCATCAAGACCTGTGCTCCTCACCAGTCCCATGTGTGGACCTCCTCCCTGGTGGGCTGTCCTGCTCCCTGCCTCCCTAGTCATGGCTTTTGCAGGATGGTTGCTCTGCCTGGCTCTCCATAACATGCCAGCCTTGCCATAGCTGATAGATGCAGCGAAACACTAACCTCTCCATTGAACAAGAGCCCTGGCAACACCATTTGTCATGCCCCTCCAAGAGGGTCTCATCTGCTCCTTGCAGGCAGTGCAGTATGTGAATGAGAAGATCCTGGAGAGGAGCCCAGCAGAGAAGGACCTCTTTGACATCCTGGTGCTCTCCAACAACAGCCCAGAGAGTGGCATGCGCATCATCAACAGCACCAAGCACTACGGTAAGAGGGACCCCATCCCTGGGGGTGCCCACGTCTCCCTGGCATGCTGCAGAGGCACCACAGTGGAGAATCAGTAGCAGATACAGAGCCAGGGGATACACAAGAAGAAGGGGTTATTTTGGAAACAGGTCCAATTCCTGTTGGCCTCATGCAGCTTGCTCAGTGTGCTAGAGCATACCCAGCATACAGGCTCCTTGGCAGACCCTGGCTCCCTTCAGCCACATCCTTTGCACCAGGGGGTCTGGCAGCATTTTCCACAGCCTGGGCATCCTCAGTCAGCTACTGAAGAACAGAGTTCTTAAAAAACTAAATCCCAGACCAACAGTCATGAGTGGTCATTTAAGGGAGGGGTGAAGGGAATATTTAGCTGCACTCTGTGGTTTTGTAGGAACAGCAGGGTAAGAAGATGCAGCAAGAACATGGGGAGGTTCCCCACACAGCACTGGGAAATAATTTGCTCCAAGCTCTGCATCAAAGTACACTGAGATCCAGGGAGGGAAGGGGGGCTGCAATGAGAATGTTACCCAATAACAGACTTCGCTCACATTCCCTGATCTGAAGGCTTGGAGATCTCCAAGTTCTGCTTTGTCAGCAGTGAGGACTCCACGCAGTACCTGAAGTCCCACAATGTCAAGCTCTTCCTTTCAGCTGACAGGACAGATGTCTGCAATGCCCTCCGGAGAGGTGCGTTCTCCCCTCATCCCACATCCCCAAACCCACACTTTTTCCCAAACAGCTTAGTGCCAGGAGGTAATTCTAGAGCATGTGCTCTCACAGAGCCAAGGGGGCAAAATGAGACGTTGATTATCAGCAGAGTCCTGAACAGTTCAGTCTTCTGTCCCCACCAGTAGCTTGCAAACACCAGGGTTTATTAGATGCCTTCACAAGTTACTAAATGCTTTATGCATAATTCTGGCCATAGCTTTGCCATGGGCTGGTCATTTCCTGCCTGACATTGAAGCCTTTTAACCAAAGATGCTGCCCATTGCTGCTCCCTGGACCAATGAGAGTGCATCAGCAATTCCCAGTGTTTTGTGATGATGTCATAGAAATTTGCTTTTTCTCTCTTGATCCATGCAGAGTTGCCATGTGCTCAGTGATAGATACAAGTACATGCTTGGCCTGGATTGGAGGAAGTACAGTACTAATGGGGTTAATTGCCTCCTTATTAATTTGTTTGGGTATAAGCACACCAGATATCCAAGGTCCTTCAAGGTCAGCAGCAAGCCATCTGCAGCCTGGGCTTTCCTTCACTACGCAGCACATTCCTGGACCCTCCTTGAAGAGCATCCTTGCTCTGAGAAGTGTCTCATCCAGGGGCCTGGGTCCATGGATGAGGGCAATCAGGGAGCAGCTTATAGGAGACAACCTGTAATTAAACCAATAACCCCAATCAAGTGGAAGTGCCAGTCCCTATTACTCACAGCAATGAGTGCTAAATCTGGACATTAAAGCCATGCTTGGCAGGGTGAGTGAGCACCAGGATGACTGTTCACGCCTGCACGACCGCCCATCCTCTCTTAGCGGACCTCAGTATCTCTCCAGATAGCAGTCTGATCAGCAGCACTTTCTTGTCCATCCCCATCCCATGGGGAGATAACACAGACCTAGAAAAGCCAGCCTGACCCCCACAGAAAGCCCCTGGGCTTGGAGACCCCAACATTTGCTGTGTGGGACAGGGCCGTGGCAGATGCACAGGGAGGAGCTTGCCACGCACGGGCTGCTCCCAGGATGGGGTGTGCCTCCTGAGCACCACCTTGCTCTGTCTTTCAGGGGTCTCAGCAGCACTCGTCTTCCAGCAGGAGGTGGAGGCCCCCAGCACCCCACTCCGTGTGGTGTTCGACGGGGATGCCGTGCTCTTCTCTGATGAGACAGACCAGGTCTTCCAGAAGCAGGGGCTGGAAGGGGCACTGCAGTATGAGCAGGCAATGGAGGCTGTGCCCATGGGAGAGGTGAGCAAGCCACCCCACTTTGATGTGCATCCACAGGCTCTGCACCCACTGTGAGCATCTCTCCTGCTAGGGCTTTGCCATAAGCAGGTAGAAAAGCACAAATCCTTTAAGATTCCCTTCGCATCCACCACTCAGTCCCTAGCATAGGTCTGATCTGGAGTCCCACAGGTGATGAATCTGGCCTGATGTCTGCTATAAGTGAGCATCAGCTCCCAAATACCCATGGTTGTGGTTACCTCCAATGTCACCTTTTGTAGGCTAGGAGTTCTTGCTGTGCAAGTCCCTGTAGGACTCAGACCCAGAGGCACTGCTTGCTTGGATGTATGTTCCTGGTCTCTTTGAGACTAGGATGAACACCACAATGGTCACCTTCCTCCCAAGCATGCCAGTGCACAGGCCCAGAACTGCCCAGTCCTGCACCACACAGGTGTCCAGATGCTCTTCAGAGCCCTAAGAAACCCTGGAAGAGAAACCAGTGGCTTGTACAGGCAGAGATCCCTCGCTATTTCCCACCCACTCCTAAATGCCTTGCTGTGTTTCCAGGGTCCCTTGAAGGCTTTTGCCATGCACCTTGGGAGGATGCGCAAGAAGTTCAGCCAGGAGGAATCCCCCATCCGCACCTACCTGGTGACCGCCCGCAGCGGCCGGGACATGGGCATCCGAGCCATCAAGACACTCCGGGAGTGGGGTCTGGCCATTGATGAGGCTTTTTTCATGAGTGGAGCTCCCAAGGGCCCTATCCTTGCCCAGATCCAGCCCCACATTTTCTTTGACGACGGCCTTCATAACATCCAGGGAGCTCAAGACATGGGTGTACCCTCTGCCTGGGTCCCTTCCTGCTGCTGATGGGCCAGCAGACCTTTCTCCCAGCAGCACGGAGGACTGGGGCAGTTGAAGGCCAACCTTTTAGTGGGGAGGGAAGGATTTCCTGACCTGCAGCAAGCAAATTTCCCCTTCAGGCAAAGTAGGAAAGGCACTGCATGAGGGCACAGACTACCAGGCAAGACTTGATGCTCATTTCTGCTCCTAATACACAGTCTCACAGGTCTTGGGATAAAGCCAAAAAAATGCAGCCACTCCAGAAAGAAAGGACATCTTTGCTCTGACACTGAGGGCCATTGCCTACATACCCAGTAGGACCCAGGGACTTTTCTGCAGAGAAACAAATGAAGCTATTGCCCCACACATGAGCTGAAGTATGAAACCAAGCACTAAAAATGCTGGCTTTGGCTGTGCTCAGACAGTCTCCAAGATCTATTCCCAGGACCTCTGCCCAAAGGCAACTGCACTGGACTGTCTCAAGCAGTTCCCTGTCCTTTTTGAACTGAGGGGTCCATACCTGATGTCTCACCAGGAGAGAGCACTGGAGGTGGGCTGCCTGCAGTACAAGCCATATAGGGCCCAGGGGTGCAGACCAGCACCCCAGGGACCAGGGCAGGACTGACTGCCCAAGTCTGAGCTTAAATGGGTCTTTGGGACTGTGGGTGGACGACATGGGTGGGGGGTCCCAGGTGCAGCAGCTTAGGGCAGATGGGCTCTGTGGGTGTGCTCAGGACCCTGCCAGCCAAAAAAAAACAGGAATGCTTCTCTTGCAATTTGGTCTATGCTTCTAATTTTCCTGGGGAGGAAGAGGCCCCCAGGATTCATTTGCAGGTTTCTTTCCCCGGGGCTGCACGCGAGCAGTTGCCACTAGAGGCCACTGTGCTCCCTGGGGACACAGCACCCCAAATCCTTGGGAGCTTCTGAGAACAACCTCATAAAAAAAATGCAGAATAGCTGCTGAGGGCAATGCTTGCTGAGTGGCAACGGAATTGTGGATGGAGGAGGTGAAGATGATGGTGGTTTCGTTTTTTTTTCATCTCAGTGTGACCAGAAAGTATTTTTTTAAAGACTTCACAAGTGTTGCTCTCACCAGTGTTGTTTTCCCCCCAGTAAATGAAAAAATAAACAAACATCTCTGTGTGATCTCTTGTCTCTCACAGTCATATTCACTGGCACAGGAGGTGGGCTGGAATAACTCAGTGCCCCTTTATGGACATTCAGTTATTTTATCCATTCTTAGGCATGTGCATCAAGGTGGGTTAAATACACAATAAACCTTCAGTGGGCTTTGGATTAGGCCTCTGAGCTTCTTGAATCCATGTCCCCAAGTCCACTCTCCCCTTCCTGCTACCCTGGGCTTGAGGACTCTTCACATCTCGCCCTAGCAAGGGAAGCTGCTGGCCCCACTGTGCCACCAGCTCCAGTCCTGGCCCTGCCACCATGGCATGTGGATCCAAACTCTGGCTACCAGGGTAGGGCACACATGCCTGTGTGCAGGGCTTTGGTGGGAAAAACATAGAGCCCAGCAGGGTTTTGGCACTGGCAGTCTGGCCTTCAACCCTTTTGCTAAATGCAAATGCTGAACAGATGTCTTGAGGTAGCAACAACAGCTACTCATCATTTGCTAATAATGCTAAGCACCAGTCAGCCTCAATCACTGAGTAAACATTAATTATGGGATGTTCAAAACATGCTGGTGAACAGGTGCAGATGTTTGTCCCACTTTTATGCAGGTCAGATACTACTGGACTCAGCGTGGGGATCTAAGTACCCACCTCCAGCTCCACTCACCATGCAGAGCCAGCTGCTTCAGTGGCAGCTGGTGGTGGGGACATGGACCCAGCATTGGTGGCAGTGGTGGTTCCAGACATCCTCTGCTGCTCCTACCCATTGCTTTTGCTGATGCCTGGACCACACCAGCAGGAGTTTGGTCAACACGAGGGCAAGGGGAAATGAGCTGAGTCACAGGCAGTGGGAACAGGCCCACGTGAGCCATTGCAGGGCACAAGTTGCTGAGGCAGGGGGAAGACACCATGTGCCTTCCTCCAGCAGTGTCAACACAGCAGGGGATGACAGGGTGAAACATGCCCAAAATGGGAAAAAAGGAAGGAAGCACAGGGTTTGTGGGATTACATCATATGGGGCCAAGTGCAGCTGCTTTGGGCCATGGCTCAAAGGTGTAAAAATTGCCTCTTATTGCCTTACCATCAAAACTGCCTCTTATTGCCCTACTCCAAAAACAGAATATGAAAACCTGCCTCTTTCTGCCGTGTTCCAAAGATGTAGCATCAAAAACACTCTCCAGCAAGGATTGCTGCAGCTCCACACCCCACTGCAAGGGCAAACTTCTTTCTATTTTAAAGACATCTGTAATAAATTCATTAATGTTTGGGATGCTCCTCGGGTCTTGGCTTTCTGAGGCATCTTCAATTTCCCTCCCTCAAAGGGCTGCTCAGGGGTCTCCTGCTGCTGCTACAGCTCAGAGGAGGTTTAGCTGCTGGGGCTGGTTGTGGGATGCTTCCCTGATACCCATTTCAGGCCTTGGGAGCTAGGGCAAGACAGGAGCAGGTCACACCACCATGCCACCCACAGGGACAGACTCTCTTTGGGCCCTGCTGGGTTTTACATCTTTCCATTCTGTGAAAAGTAATAAAGGGGTGCAAAGGGGGCTCCAATGGCATGCACTTGATTCTGGCCGAAGCTGCCTGGAGTCAGGGTCCACCTCGCCTGATGCTGACCCACCACTGCTTGGGACACACCCAGGACAGCCTCTTGATACGGGGAGGGAAGCAGGCAATGCCCCTGCTCCACTCAGCTGCTGCCTCCTCCACCAAGCCCAGCTCTGCCGCCGGTGCCAAACAAGTGGCTCTTGTTTCGAGGGGGAGCGCGTGACACCAGGGATCAGAGGCTGTGGCTGCCTTGTCCTGAGGAGCCTGCAAGAGAACTTTCCCCAGGAGCATGCCCTTAATCCCCTACTTAGTGCACCTGTGCATTTAGTTTTGCAACACTAAAAACCCCCAGCTTAGCACTATAAGACAGAAAGGCATTTTTCATGAAACTGTGATGCTGCAGGGAGGGAAGATTAGCAGCTAACAGGGATCTGCATTAACAATGTCTGAACAGGCTTTACTGACTTCTGGCTACAGTGAGAGAGGATGATGGAGGCTGCAAGACCCATGTGCAGCTGTGATGTCCACCAGGGATGCTCCCACATCTTCCACCCATAACCTACAAGGACGTATGACCACAAGCACAGGGAAGAGTATCTCCACATTTTTTACCTAACCCTAAGCCATACAAGTAACAGAGCTCCCTGGGAAGCATTCAGGGGTCCCCAGCCTGAGAAGCTGAGATACCAATTCCCATGCTGCAAATAATTATAAACCAGGTGTTTTCCATGCAGAAGCTCAGAGAGCAGGTGTGCAAAGCTGCAGACTGTGTTTGCCAAGGTGCTTAAACATGGTTTCAAAATCTTAACCCCAGATAGGCACACTGCTGGCTGTGGCAGCAAGTAAAGCCAGTGCTTAGGAGAAAGGCAAAAATAAATAGGTGGGAATTATGAGCCTTTATGGACATACTCAAACAGCAACACTTTCTCCAGGAGCTTGGGACTGATTCACCACAGAGGATCTGAGTGTTTGGTACCACTTCAAGGAAACACTTTGCCATTTTAAGTCAATCTTTGGGTTGCTACGGGGTGTTGATCCTTGTCTTTCTGAGCCCACCTTCCTCCCAGGACCAGAAGGCTCGATTGCTTTTTTGCTTTGTCACATGGAGATGTAATTGCATAAATGATGGTCACCTTGATGCAGCTTCAGCTGGACATTAATGGAAATAATTAAACAGCATCTAGTGCTGGCAAAGAAAATGAGATTGATGGCATGCTTGGATGGGGCTGGAGGTGTTATCTCTGCATTGTACATGGAGATCCCACCAGTGAGATGATACCCCCTATGGCAGGGATTGCTCAAAGCAGGTGACAAGGTGAGCTGGGTCTCGGTGCTCCCTATCACATCCTGGTGTGGGAGGCGATGAATCGATGCCCTCACTGCCACTTACCACCTCATCCCGTCAGCCACCGGTCACGCTGCCTGCTACTAGTGCCTGCCAGGGTTGTTGTTGCCTGTACACATGCACAACCCCAGCAATTTCAGCCTGCTGCAAAATAACTCGGGTGAGGCAAACACCACGAGATCCCTGCCCCAGGGAGCAGACAGGGCTGGCAGCCAGGGTGAGGCCGGTCTCCTCCTCCCCAGGGTGGGTGCCAGGCATGTCCCCAGCCACAGGGGGAGACAGTCTGGGGGATACGGAAGGACATGCAACTCTGAAAAGGGCCAGATGCAGGCAGGTGGTGTGGGGATGGCAAGAATTTGGGCAGGGCCACAGAGCATGTGGGATGCGGGGATGGGTGGTGCAGAGTTTGGCAGCAGCCTGGCGATGCCCAGCAGTGTACAAGTAAACCCTAGTGAAGACGACAGCACAGCTCATACAGCTCATAGGCTTAAAGACCATAAGCATTTTGCTGCATAAAACCTTTGGGGTTTTTTTACTACCTTGAGGAAAGACTGGAGGAGCAAGGTATGATGGAGAAGGACCACTGGGCTGAAAGCACCCCATCCTCAAAACTGCTGCAAACAGCCCTAATGAGGATGGAGCTGCACTCAGGGCTCCTGCCATGACATTGGGCCACTGGGGAGCCATCCTCACCTGCCATCAGGATCATCGTTTGCAGCATGAGAGACATCAAGCATGAGAGACATCAATTACCACCCAGCTTAAGCCCTTTGCAACTCCACTTAGCATGTCCCCAAGGTCACTGCAGCCCATGCTGGCTGCTGGCCAGCTCTGCCTCCAAACCAGCCCTAGCCAGCTGGCACTAACACACCAGGCATCGCCACCACCCGTGTTGCCCAGGACAACTCCCCCAGGGCCTGCAGCAGACTGGATGAGTCCCTTTGCTGTGCTCAGTGCAACTCCTCCCCTGCTCCTGGGTTTCCCATCAGCCAGAGCTCCTATTAAAGCAC